TCGCCTAGCGTCCCGGCTTGCTGAATAATGAATGGCCTGTGGGGGAGACGACTACAGTGGCAGAGACTTTCCGCCACCGATTCTTCCAGGCAGGGGGGAAATTCCCTCCGAAAGACTTCAGGCCTCCGGGATGGATTCATTCTGTGCCTGGTAGTGGTACTTGGTGGTCTAAGATCACCGAGTACGTCTTGACGGAGAACTCTGACCTTGCGGGCTCTGAGCTATTCGTAGCTATCCGAGCCACCCAACATGGCCTAAAGATCAATGCCCCAAAGTTCCACAATCTTGGAACTTTACTGCTCGGATAGTGGTACCTTCTTTACCCTCAACGGTGAGCTTGGTATAACCCTCCACGAGATGTATGATGTGTCGGGGTTGCCGTTGGGGAGCTTCCCCTACGAGGAGTACGTGCCGGGTCAAGACTAGATCGACTATCTTTCGGGTCGATTTCCCTTAATGGTTGAGACTTTATGAGAGTTACTCGGCCATTACCACATATGTCTCGACACCTTGGGCATGGTGGACCACAAGGGCAAGAAGAAGAGGGCTCCCGGTGTGACGCCCCTGGGTTCACACAAGGCTGCAGTCCGAGGTGAAATCAGAAATGTCAAACCTGCCATGCACCACACCGTGCAATAATATGTTTCACCATCACAATTTCTATCTCTCTAGTGGAATCAACAATATGTGTAGTACAAATCAAGTAAAAGGTTATACAAGAATCAACTGATGAAGTAATAGAGATCAAATTAATATTTCGTCATCTAACATACGGGAATACAAGTAAATGTCTGAAATAAATGAACTGGAGTTCTCAACAAGTCTCAAATACAAAATGTCTGACAAGAGGAAATAAGGCACACAGCCTTTACAACTTCTAGAATAACTCTCTCAAATATCTAAACAGAAGTCTACAGTGGAGCTCAAAAGAAAATATAACTAATTAGATGGCTGAAGCTAAAGTGTATTGCCATCAACCTGCGACTCTCCGGGCTCCTGGCTCGTTACCTGAAAGGGGGAGGGACAACGAGCGTCAAAGCACTAGCGAGCAACATCACAACCAACCCCAAGGGATAGGGCTCGTTGTACATGAAAATACAGTTAATACATAATAATGTAAATCATTTACACAAACATTAATGAGTTTTAGTACTTAGGGAAATATAGCACGAGCATAGGTACGTCGAGCGAAATAATCCAAACAAGGAAACCCTCATGTATATACCTTGTATCTCAAATTGTAGATCCCTAAATATTTAAACCCGAGGTTGGTCATAAGAAAACAAATAAAGAAAAGAATACATACCCATCTCTACCAATAAAGTGTAAACATGAACAAGCTACAATAGGTGTCATGTACAACCTAGGTAGCTATCATGCCCCAGCCTAATACAATATAACGTGTACCCAACTTGGTTGAATAACGTGCTCAAGGTTTAGCAAAAGTCTAAAACATGTTATATAAAAAGAATGGATTATAGTCCAACACGAGGACTCTAATGGATTATAGTCCAACACGAGGACTTTAATGGTTTATAGTCCAACACAAGGACTGCGTATAAGAAAGTATGCATGTCTTATTCCCGTGCATACCCTACTGTACTAACTTAGACTTGTGTCCGAAGGGTCATCTCACATGTATAGGTGAAATCACTTTCACTGCAAATAAATACTCAATAAACCAGGCACTCCTCAAGTCCAAATGTGGTAGATAGTACCCTTGAATATGTAAACACTGTATACATACATACTTATGTATATATATACAGCAGATGATTTAAACAGAAGCACGAACGAAACAGAAAGAAAATACTGCGATGAGTCGACTCATGCTCAAACATGAGTCGACTTAGCAGAACACATATAATAGCAGGAAAGGGCTTCATGAGTCGACTCATGACAGTCATGGGTCGACTCATGACTTATGGGTCGACTCGTATACTGACGAGTCGACTCAGCAGAAGCAAAAAGGCAACACAACTAGACTTCGTGAGTCGACTCATGACAGTCATGGGTCGACTCAACCTGTTGAGTCGACTCATGATGAGCCGTGGGTCGACTCACGGGCTGAACAAAGCATTTCTCCCAACTGTAACTTGTTCAACACGATCCACACTTCCATTTTACTAATCTACACTTCTATAGCCATCGATTCTCGACTATGATACAGTGAGAAAAATATATTTATCATGAGAAATGATTTTCTTGTAGGTTAAATCTAACGTTTAACTCCTATACATGAAAGAAAGCATTTAATCAAAATAAAACTCATATTTTATTCTTTAAATAAAAATTCCAGATCTGGGTTTTCATGAAAAACTTGTTGGTGGGGATTTAAAATCCGAAATACATGATTTCTAGCATTAACCCTAACAAGGATATTGATTTATACTTGAAAATAAGTCTTAGGCTCAATAAAACTTATGGAAAACAGTTATAAACTATTAAAAACATGGGAGAAGGGTTGGGCGAGATGTTACTCGCCTCAAAAGTGATGATGAACAATCCCCTTCGCTGCAATCCACGAAAAGCCGCTGAAAATCCCTAAAAATCGCCCAAGAAATCCCAAAAACGAGCTAGGGTTTAGAGGGGGGGGAGGAGGCTAGGGTTTCTCTAGGGTTTTCTGATGAACAAGAGTGTTTTCGGGTGGGGAGAAATATATATGAGTGGATAAAATCCGACCCGAAACCCAAACAAACCCGACCCAGAAAACCAGAAAAACCCCGATGAGTCGACTCATGGCAGTCATGGGTCGACTCATAATATAATGAGTCGACTCAGCAGAAACTTATGACAAAGGAAGATGATATCATGAGTCAACTCATGACAATCATGGGTCGACTCATGAGCTGAGAACTGAGTTCTTCGACTCTGATGCTTATGACTTGCACATTTGCAAACTCAACCTCATAACTGATGTATATATACATCCTCATAAGCTCAAAAAATGCTAGATTTCATGCACAACCATATCATAAAGATATTTATCATAAATAAATATTATTTCTCACTAAAAGTCACGTATAAAAATGCTAGATAGGTGATTCTCATGATATCTTGATAATAGAGGTGTGGTTGGAGCCATAGAGGATGGTGAAAGAAGTCAGAAGTAGCGAAACGCAGAAGAACAGGAAGAACAGGAAGATCTCTGTCCGGTCGACCGCAGCGACATGCGCGGTCGACCACCAACCTGCACAGAGCAGGGTTTCAGACTGGAACTCTGTCCGGTCGACCGCGATGGTCACTGCGGTCGACCGCGACAGGTTCCTGGGCCTTTTCCTGTTTCGTTTTGGATTCTGTTTTGACATGGATTCCTGATTCTTTTGGGCTTGTTTATTTACAAGATTGCCATCCACGTTTGCACATCTATAAATAGGATTGTTTTAGGGTTCTAAACAATCAGATCTCAGAGAGAAGTGATCAAGAGAGATTCTAATCAAGAGAGATTAGGGTTTAGAGAGGATTGAGAGGTTGTTCTCGATTCTAGTGAGATTGTGAGAGAGTGATTGTAATCTTTTGTTCTTCATAATCTAGAGAATGTGTTTTCCTTCGCCTTATACTGAATTGTTCTTGTGTTTTGGTCATCCTCTTCTCAACCCACCTTTTGGTAATTCCGCGACCAAAGGGTGCTCGCACGGCGACTCGTATCATCATGAACTTTGACCAAGACATCTCGAGATAGAGAAGCAAACAATCGAGATCGTAGACTTTGATCCACTCGAAGCTGGGATTCATAGCTAGGGTTGAGTTGACGGCTACCAATTGTATCAACATATATAGGTGGTCGAGGGTTTGAGCCATCAACAAAAATAAGGAGATTGTGTGATATCAATAAGGCAGTGAACTGAGTCTTCCATATCAAGTAGTCTTCAACAGCTGATAACTTTACCGTGACCATGTTTGTAACATTAAGTGCTGTTAAAAAAGAGGGAAAAGAAGAAAATTGAGGAGTATGCTGAGGATGTAAGGATAAAAAACCACTATTGCCGATGACATTGTCATTGTTGGATCCACATGATAGGTTCAAGCCATGTAATCCAGCAGCAATTTGATCAATTCCAAGCCCAAATATGTTGGATGGTAAATCAGACAAACCTATTTCTCACAAGTTGTTTGAGGGTTGAGTTAAAAGAAACTGTTGTTGTAGAAAAGAGGAGGGTTGTTGATAGATAAAACTTGGTAGATTGAGTCGTTGATCAACACCTGAAGGCATCATCCTTGCGATTGTGCTGCTGCCTATTGTAAGAGCCTAAGCAATCAATGCTGAGATGGTCGAAGTTGACATCGGGGTTGATGCCGACAATGTTAAAGAGGAGTCTGATGATGATATGGACTTCATGGCAGAGGTAGAGGCCATCGAAAGGGAATGTGACTAAGGATGACTCAAAGAAGATATAGAGAGGACGATGAAGAGAGGGATCATTAATATCAAATTAGCGCTGCTCTGATACCATGAAGATAATTATGAACCACTTAACCCAAATTAGGGTTGCTGATGATGTATATATAATTGTGAACAATTACACAATAGTCCTCTTTACAGGATTGCAATTTAGTCCTTGCATATACATTAATAGTATCCAATGCCCTCTCTCCAATGTTTACAAATCAATGCATAGTGGCCATTATGTTTTTATGGTTCCACGAGAAAACTTTATAATATATATCCGCGAAAATGAATATGAATACAAAAATAAATATGAGAAGGATGATAAAACCGAAAAGTATTATTTATGCTTTAGAAGTTGTTTAAATAAAGTTTTTCAAATTAGAGCTTATAAATATGTTCGATACTCTAGCCAATCGAGTTTAGACTTGTAGATCAAGTTGCTCTTAGATCCACCAATCTAAACTCAAAATAATATAAACAGTCTGATCGATTCATATATATACCTATCGGTCATGGGTATTTTACTTATACTCACGATTGATGCTACTAATCATACACATGTAGGCCCAGCCCAATCCGACAAAAAATACAACCTAAGCCCAGCACAAGAGCAGGCCATTTGAACATCGGATCATTTTCTCTCTTGTATTTCCCATTATTTCGCTTCGTTCTTCTCTCTCTCTCTCTCTCTCTCTCAAAATAATCCCAAGGACGCAAAACAGAGAAGCGAGAATCAAACAATGCAGAGGGCATCGAGCTCTCTTCGTCGATCCCTTGGTGCTCTCCGTCTAAGATTTAATGGCAACATCGCAGTCCAAGACTGTTCGTAAGTACAAGTCTCTTGCATCAAATTAACCCTTTTTTTCCTCCCACGTTTGATAAAGTGCAGTGTGCGCAAAATACAGCGTCTGTAATTTTATATTTTTTTGGGTATTTATTTCCGTTCGAAGAGTTTTAGGTGAGAACTGCATGCCCAAGTAACCGTTTAACAAGTCTGAGTGTTAAATTAAGACTCTGCTCACCACTTGTTCGAGAAAATGACTTAGTGAAATTTCAACGGCAGCCCTTAGCCAAAAAGTGTGATAGTGTTAATAGGACCACATTCTGTTCGATGAAATGCTTAAACAAACACAAGTCGAGCTCTTAGCGGAGAGCTCAATTGATCATGACTCTGAAGTGATTGACCAGTGAAGATGATGGAATAGTTGATCTCATTTTGATTGGAAAAGGGGTAGATAACAATCTTTAAGGAATTGGAATAGTTAAAGTAGTTCTTTTAGTATAGTGCAGTTACTGGGTATTCCAACTAGTAAACATCTAGCAAATATATTCGGTTATCCATGATTGCTTCCTAGCTTCATTACCTGGGTACTTCTATCTTGAAGCTGTATCCGTATCTGTACCCGAACTCCTTGGACATTCCTTCCTTATATTAATTTAGAACACTTGTCAACCATTTTCTGGACATAAATCCTATATGTCACATCCACTTCTTCAAGCTATGATTTTAATAGTCGTTGGCGTGTCTAGTTCAAAAAACGAGCATTTTTGCAATTTATAATCCATATAATAAAAGAAATATAAAAATGTTATGGGAATTTTAATCTCAAGACATGTGATATAAAAATATTTATCTTATGTAAACTATTAATTTCAATGTATAATATATGTGTATATAAATATTCATATAGGTGTGTCCTCTCAAAAAACGAGCGTTTTTACAATCTATAATCCACATCATAAAAGAAATATAAAAATGTTATAGCAATTTTAATTCTCATAACACGTGAATAAAAAAATATTGATCTCATGTAAACTATTAGTTTCAATATATAATATATGTGTTTAGAAATATTTATATAGCCATGTCCTCATACCCTACCTTTTGCAAAATTGCTGTGTGCGGTATCTGTAAATGTAAACGTACGTTTACCCATACCCATGCAACATAGCTTCCAAGTAAATGAAATTGAAAGTTCTAGATAAGCTACTTGGTTCATGGAAAAAGAAGGTAATAAATATATTTAAGATTATTAATATCATATTTATATTTAATTTTTAAATAAGCTACTAGGTCACGGGTTCTAATATCGAAAACTGTCTCTCTGTGTATGGGGGTAAGATTGCATACATCTAACCTCCACAGAGCCCATAATGGTGGGAGCTTGTGCACTGAACCATTTATATTTATTTTGTAGAATATTTTCCTTCTAGACTTAAAGAAAAGGTGGGACTGCAAGGAAATTTATCATGAAGAACGGTGCACAGAACAGGAGTTTCTAGTTTTAAGTGACAGTATCTGTTCCTGTATATTATCCCCACAAGTTTTACATTTTAGATATTGCCATCTGTCCTAGTCTTAAAGAAATCAGACCAATACTTAGGCCTTGCTTGGGTGCCTACTAGCAGGTATCCACTAGTAGTCTATGTTATGGAGCTGAACATGTGATCATTTGATCTGTAGTATGAGTTCCTCAAAGACTTTTTGATACATAAAAACCTGTGAATTTGATTGGATTCAGTTGGAGAAGTTTGTATTTACCATGTAACCCAGTAACGGAGAATTTAAGCAACAAATTGAAAACTTGCTTGTTATGGTGGAAGCCCATGTCTTGGCGAGGGTTTTTGTGGTCCATCTCAACCAGTTCATGTTAATAATCACAAACGTATTTCATGCTAAATTTATGTATGTCCTAATATCCAAATTTATCCCTTTTGCAGGAAATGGATTTCAAGTAGAAAGGTATGTTTCCTTGATTGATTTTTTTTCTGTTTTATCACTTAACTTTGTTTAGACTTACCAACTGAATAAACTCTATCTTGAATAGCTTATAACAGGTTGTAGATGCATTAATTCTGCCACAAAAGTTTCTGATTTTACATCTGGACGTGGCATCTACAGTAGGGTTGTCCAAGATGAAGCAGCAAAGACAGCAAAGGTATTCTCCATTGTCAAGAAACTTTATGTTCTGTGTCTTACGTTCTTCTCTACATAATTTGAATCAGAACGGGTCAAATTTTCTCATCAGGATAAGAAACAGGGTCTCGACTGCTTAGAAAGACTTCAGCTTGTGTAATCTCAAAATTGTTGTGCATCATTGTTTTTTCTAAGACAGGAGAATTAGTCGGGCTATGGAAGAAGCTTTCAGGGCCACGTCTAAGAACCACTGCTAATGATATGATAACTGATAGGCTTATATGTTCTAATTTGTGGTTTTCCTAATTTCCTTGCAAATACTAGATCTTTAGTACACATGGAGTTTTAATTCATCAACTAGTTTAGAGCATGCAATCAGTTCCGAATGTTGATAGTCTTGCCATGTTTGATTTGCTGTTGTAGGCATTTTCTTCTTAAGAAACTTAGTGCATCATGTTATGTGGCACACTACATGAGCCATTGAGTTATGGCCTGTAGTAATACATTTATCCTCATTGAATGCTTTTTGATGCCCAAGCTCATGTTTGTTGGAATGAAAAGACAGTTTGATGGACCATTTACTATTAATGAATTTTTCTTATCCGTGATCTTTTATTGTACTAATATGAATCCTCAACCTGTTGGGAAGAGGTAGATCTCTTAAAACTAATCGCTGCTTCTTCTTATTCTTCCTTTTTTATCAAGTGAAAATAAGTAGAAATAGTATGTCAAGAAATGATAGATTATTCGACCAAATCCCATTCTAAGGGACATAATTCTTTGCTTTCTTGCTATAATTTTGAGATATGGAGGCTTACCCTCTGAAGTCGATAAAACAATCCACAAATATTGTTCATGCTATTCCCAACTCTTTATATTAAATAATATATCACCTAACATAACTAGCAAAAAATGATTCCCAAGGTCTTAAATACTATTTATTCGATTCATAAGAGTGTTGGGGTATTAGTTAATCCAAAATGCATCAACCAAAACTTCCCATGTCTGTATCTCGTTCCAAATATCATCTTTTGCATCTCCACTTTCAACTTTCAGCTGATTGTAACCCGATCTTATATTAAAATATTTAAAATATCTATGGACCTTGCAACCCATACAGATCATCTATCTTCGATATGGGCATTTCTTCTTCCTATTCACCATACTAACTCTCATTAATCTAATTGATCTGTCCTTCTTGATAATGAATACCAAGGCATCCCCAGAGGACAATAGATTGAATCAGTTGATTATACGAATAAAATTCTTGCTATTGCACCTTCAAATCCTCAAGTATCACTAATGTCAGACATTGGGTGATTTATAGTGATGTTTCTCCAAGGCCCTTGGATGTGTTTTCATCTGTTGCAAAGATTCGGGCCAGAAGCTATGAAAATATTGCTCAAGTCGAAATAAAAAGGATATGGAACTTCCTTCGTTTCCATACTTTGTCTTGCTTTATCCAATGGGGTTCAACTTCATGATGGAAGTGCCTTGCCATAAAGGTTTAATAATACCGAAAGATGGTAGTATGCTTCAAGGCAACTCAAACCTTATGAGAGAAACACTTGATTAGGAGCTCACAATAGTGATATTTTCTCCTTGACTCTGTGGTTGAACTTGCGAGGCATACATTGGTCATATAAGAGTTTGAAGTATATGCCCTGTATTAAATATCACATTTATCAGAAATATCGGACAGTCAAAATCCATATCGGATTGTAGAAATCGGGGTATATCGGGGTTATGTAAAAAATATCGGGTTGTCATATTGGATGATGATCATACATAACATAACATTGTAATTGTAATTTAAACATATCTAACCATAAGAAACTGCATTATAATTCATGAATAATGATATGTGTAATATGTTTAGGTGACTAACCGATTGTAGAAGCTTGCTTCTCGATCGCATGATGAAACTTCCCAATTGAAAAACCTTCAAAATAAGAAAATAATTTTAGTCAAAGACTCAAAATAGAATACCAAACAAGCAAATGATACAAATAATGAAGAATCAACATTATAACAGAGGTGCAATCACAAAACTCACAAATTAACTTGGGATCTAATATTCAAGATGGTCAATATCCATAAAAAAATAAAGCAAAGCAACCAACCAACTAAGTTTTAGAAGTTACACAAGTAGTTCATAATTGTTTATCATCATATCAGTCTAAAATAACATAACCAAAATGAATGTAGAAGCAAATATGACTATAATCAATCTTCTTCGGGATCGATGACCGAAATATCATATATTAACGTGCAAGCCTCCTCTGACCTCAATGAGGACTCTGAAGGTGTTTCCCACTCTTCCTCTTCATCTATGACCAGCTCCTTTGATCTTGAAGATGATACCACAGACTCTATCCTTCTTTGGTATGCCTTTGTTCTTGCACTCTTTGTCCTCTTTGGATTAGCCCCCAATACTTTTGCAGCTTGCGTCCAAGTTAATTGTTCTCTGGGAACACTTCATCATCACTTTCTTCATTAACTTGACTTAGAGGGATCACCCAATGTGTGACCCTTTTTTCGTCATTGTAGGCAAGTAGAGGATCTCTATCCTTATTAGAATGCTTGTTTTGAAGCTTCACATTGAATTTGACAAAAACTAAGTCATGCAATTTCTTGTGACTTAATCTATTCCTCTTCTTTGTGTGAATCTATAAAGTAAAACACTAATTAGCACAAAGAAAAAAATTGACTCAAATATGCTCCAAGCCTCTAGCACAATTAAAACTTAAAGAAGTCATTATTACCATCTCAAATGTACTCTAATTCCTCTCATAAGCCAAAGAGCTAGCGGTGAATCTCAAAATTCTCATCTCTATCCTCCCAAGGTCAAGCGTATCATTCCCGAAAAGATATCGCCATGTAAATAGTCAATTTAAACAATTTAAAATAATTAGAATTTTATAATTGATGTTTATGATGGATAATTTGAATAAAAATGCAAGTATACCGGGATTACTATTGGTCTTTTTAGCTTGCTTTATGGCAATAGAGCTCCCAAATGACTCTTTTCTATGCTGATAATTAGAGAGTTGAGCTCCAATCCTACCAAAAGAGGCATCATCTTCTCCATAGAATCTTTGCATACATTCAACTACATTTTGTATGAAGGTTCCATCATTTTCAATTGCCACAAAAGATGGATAGAAGTAGGGATTGAGATAATATCATGCTTTATGTATTGGCTCCATAAGCTTGTCCTCCCATCTTTTATCAGTCATCTTTCATATAGAAATATACTTCTTCTCTTCATTATTTAGGGTTGTTTTCAACTCGTCCTTGACCACCAACATATCTCCATAAACAAATCACATAGACAGAGTTTTATCACTATCCACTCTCCTTAAAACCTTCACCAATGGAGTAAACACTTGAATGGCAAAATCAAATTTGTCCCAAAACTTGTTGTTTGCAATAATTTCAAGAACCTACAAACAAGAAACACAAAAAATGTAATGATTCAAAAAACTACTAGGCTACTATGAGGAACTTACTATTTTATAACTATCAATTTGAAATATATATACCTTTTTGCTTGGTGTTGTTGACGATAGACTATAGTCCATCTACTTGTCCAAGATGAAAATCTGCCACATCTCCTTTTTCTTCTTCCTCATCGATTGTAGTGATAGAAATGCCGTAGTAAATCTCGTTGCCCCGGGTCTTAATATTTCCCCATTTGTGAACTCTTTTTTAGCAATTGAAGGGACTTGATATGACTATAGATGTATACTGATACAGTTCTTCTCATCACAATTGCACTCCGAATAGGCTTGATTCTGGCTATATCACTCAACATCAAATTCACACAGTGTGCTGCACAAGTTGTCCAAAAGATATTCGGCCTCGTCTTTTCCAAGCTAGTAGCAGCCGCCATGTTATTTGAAGTTACATCTATCACAATTTGCACCACATTTTCCGGCCTTAACTCCACAATTGTCTTCTCCACAAACTGAAGTATGTAGTTCATGTCATGTTTATCGGTTGATGTCTTGTGAAGTTAAAAATGTCGTCCCTCCATTGGGATGCATGAATATGTTCATTATGCTCTTTCGCTTCTAATCGCTCCAAGCATCGGTCAATATAGAGCACCCAGTGACCACACAATTCTTTTTGAAGTTTTCAACTATCACTTTTGTTTCATTCACCTCTTTGCAAAATAGGCTCTTTTAATTCATATGCCGATGGAGCTTGCATATGTGCTCCAACCTGTCCAATAGCATACACCATTTGTTGGAAGGAGGGTAGTGTTACGGTGTTGAGGCGATGTCAGCTTTATAAAACCATTTCCCTATATACTTTTTCGCATCATCCGTCGCCTTCTTTCTATGCTTTGAGTCTATCATTGGTTATTTCCCCTTTGCTAGTAAAGTGGCGGACTCCTCGGGAAGGCGACATGCAAAAGAGTCCATTGGCCCTTTTGTCTTGAATGAAGAGGATGTGCTTCTTTGTGATGAATTCTCCTCATCTTCCTCCTCTCCCACATGCACATCAGTTAATAGCAAATTTAATCTAGCATCCTTTTCATCCTTTTATTATCTGCCTCATCTAACATTGCACAAATTTTATTCTTCACATTCTCGGGAACCTTGTCACATAGCTTACAATTTCCTCATTTTCCCGCCAAATGAGCTTTTAACCGGCTTATGTCACCACTAAAAGCTTGCAAGCAAAACTTACACCGCACCTTCCCATTGTCGAAACTAACCCTCTCTCCCTATTGCTAACAAGGATCTTTACCACCCTTTTTTTGGAAGAGCACTATATCCTTGACCTTCAGACATCTTCTTACTATCACCTTCACCATTTAACAAACATGAATTTAGTCTTTTTGGATAAGCAAACTATACCAATGAGATAATGACAAAAAACAAACAATCCAATTTGAAGGAGAAAACAACTACAATGTTATAAGTTTCATAACCGATTAATACATATTTCAATTTCAATCTTAATCTCAGTTTAAGAACTTCAAATTTGAGTCCATAATTGATTTTCAGCCCATAAATTCAACAAAAGTTTTAGATTGTCCACAAATTTTAGTACATTAATGCATATCATATCTGATAAAATTAAATTCAAAAATCACATTCAACAAACATATAACTCAATTTAAATTCTGTCAGTCCACAAACTCTTTAAAATGAACTCATTCCTTGCATTCAATTTCAATCCAAATATTCAATTACATACAAAAAATAATTTCTCAAAACTAAATAAAATGAGTCCTTGTATTCAAGTTACCTTCACCCTTAGAGATTTTCTCTCTTTCTTCACCTTCTTCTTCCTTGGCTTTTTGATAAAAAAACCTAAAATATAGAGTTTAGAAAAATTAGGGTTTGTGAAAATTAGGGTTTGGAAGAAAGAGAGAGGAGAGAGAGAGACTGGAAAGAGAGGAGAGATAGAGAGAGATATACCTTTGATTAGGGTTTTGAGGGACCGCAATAGAGCTTCGAGAGAGAGCTTTAAGAGGCGGAGGAGACCGTAGGGGGGTAGAGAGAGAAAGAGAGAGAGAGCTTTCACCTTGGGCGGAGGCGTGGAGGAGAGACCCAAGAGGACCATAGGAGAGAGAGAGGCCTTCGACAGGAAGGAGAGAACGGAGGAAGTAGAGAATGAAGATAAGACGGGATTTGGGCATTTTCTTTAGAGGTCAGGTTTTTATTTTTATGTCTTAGTGGGTTCAGGTCGAGTTTGGGAACCCAAACAACCCAAAAGATCCAAACTCAAAAACAACCCAAATTGGCTGCTATTTGCACACCGATATAGCGGCTGATATATCCGATACATAAGAAAAAAACCCCAAAAAATTAGAAAATGATATATTTTCATTAATATCATTGCATAAGCATGTCAAACCCAATATATCGACCACAATATCGATATTGAGGCCGATATTTAGTACATTGAGTATATGGTTACATTGAACGAATTGAACATGAGGGAATGAAGATTAGTAGAGATGGATGAAAAATTATAAACATTTGTCTTTATCTGCAAAAGTCCATTATCATCTTTAGAAGCTTATTGCACTCATAGCCACTTTGTTTACAACCCATGCAATATTGGGGATTATTGTACTTTGTCCTATTAATTAAATTAAATATGCACTAAAGACCTTAAGTACTCACTTGATAGGGTTAGTTCTCATAACAAAGTCAATTTGGAAACAATCTCATTGGTATATGTGCTTTTATAAATAATTCACTTGATAGAGTTAGTTCTCCTACCATCCAAGGTTGTGCACAAAGCGGAATGAAGCCATGAGATACTGTTTAGACTTCTTGGGACTTTAAGGGCAAAAAGCACAAAGTAAAAAAGCTAATTTGGACTGGAGAAGTAGGTGGAGTAGTTTTGATTGGAGATGGTAATGGTAAGCTTTAGTGGGGAGCTCAAGAGAAGATGATGTCGTGATGGCAATAATGAAGGCGGAGTTTGCTGGAAGAGGATTTGGAGACGGATTTGGACGTAGGTTTGGTGATGGGGTATGGTGGAATTGGCTAGAGCTTGTTGGTTTAGATTTATCCAAAAAGGATTGAGTAGCAACCATAAGAGTTAAGATGGATGAAGTAAATGAGATGGCGATAATATAAAAATGTGGTCGACTATTTCTCCTACTTTCCTTTTCAGAACATAATAATTCCTATATGATTTTTGTGAAAGTAAAGAATTTTTTTTATCAACATACATCCATGAGATTTATATCTGGGATATTGTTAAATAATGAATGCAATGATTGACTCCAACATGATGGAGATTAAGTAGCAGTCACATCCCAACATTACAAAAACATCACACCGCTTCTATTGATCAATCAAAGCTACCACTTGCACCTTCCACCTCTAGTCAACTGTCAATGTCAAGTAGATCGTCTGAGATCATCCTTCGATTGCTTTTTGAGTATTGAGCCATCAGCTAGTCCAGCTCGATTGACCCAAGCCCGCTATAGCTACCCATGCCTCATAGGTGTACTACACATCCTAGTAAGTGTCTTAAAAGTTATATTTCTATCTTAGTAATATTTAAGATATTGAGAAGGTTGTGTTGTTGGAAAGTTTTTGTTTTAAGGGTAAAATATTCAAGTATCGTAGACAAGTAGTGGAAGCCGAAAGGTATCATTCTCTAAAATCTAGAAATTTGAGGTATTAATCTATAAGAAAATCATAGTATTTATCTTAAAAGTAATGAAACTTTAGGGTATTTAACAACAAGAAATCAGTTATTATATGATGAATTTTGTTATTAATAATCTTTTGATGTTAGGAGAAAGAAACATTACATTTTCTCTCTTTCTTTATCTTGTCTGATCATGTGTCCTTAAACATTACATTTTCTCTCTTTCTTTATCTTGTCTGATCATGTGTCCTTATTTTGTTTCTTTTGTGTTTATGACTATATTGGCTAATGCGAGTCTATTTTATGCATCTTGAAGTTCTTTATATATCTGTAGCCTTAACTCCATTATGCATTGAAACCTTAATCTCCTTGCATGTTGGACTAAAGTTCTCTTGGTCATCTCCAAAATTGCTTGTATGTATGAAGTGCATTTAGCCCAACTAAATTAGTGTCCTTGAGTATGTACTTTCTTTATGTGTTTGAGGGCTTCATAGCCTCAGTTTATCATTAGATTCTGCTTATACTCCTGATGCTTATCTGTTCCCTCAGTGTTATAGAGGTTACATTTTTCTTCGAAGGAGCATTAGTTTTGCATTGTCTACTGTCATATGAAGCTCTTTCTTTCCTAATGAGACAATTGACTTTAAATCCCAATAGTACATGTTACTGAATCAGTCCTTGATCCTCAAGTTCTTTTAAGAACAGATTGGAAGTTGTATACAGGAGCATAGCAAGTGCAAGATTTTGGGGTTCAAGTCCCGCTTGCATCAGGCTGCAGCCAGTGTTTTAAGCATTGGAAAGGAGTTTAACTTCCCCACTGATAACAAGTCAAGGAAATAGTAATAACTAGAAAGGTCAAGGTTTTCATGAAAGCATATGAAGGAGTAGCTAGTTTATGGAGGTTCTTTGGACATTCCTCATGTAAGGTGCATATGGATGGTGAGCGGGAAGAGGTGAACTTTATTTCTGAGTCAATATTTTTGTGTGAATTCTTGTACTTTTCTGACTATATAATTCTTAGAAAGCATTATGAAAAAAATATGAAAGAAGAGAAAACTGATTCTTGGATAGTTGAAGCTAAGTGTATTAACATTGTAACCATGTAATGACTTCCAATTATGAAATAGGACACTCGAGTATAGTTGTTCTTACTATGTTATGTTAATAATATTATATGATCTACAGTTGTTTTCTTCTCATTCTATGTTAATGTTAATATATGATCCATATTTGTGATTGCTACTTTTATGTGAGTGGAGAATCCCTCCCTTTTCTCTGAACTGTTACAGATCATGTGAAAGCTTTCCATCCCTTTTACACATGGCTACTATGAATTTTGTAATTTTTGAAATGAGATTGATATTCCCTGGTACTGGATAATATTTGCTTGATTGTGAGCAATATAACTAAATGAATCTTAAATGTAGGGCAGGTTGATCAAGCAGACGGTCAACTCCCACAGGCTTCATTGCACAAACGTGTGGCTTCATTGCACAAATGTGGGGTTGGGAAAAATGTCTCAGCAGTTGATAAAAGAAAGTTTCTTATTAACACGG